TATATATATATATATATATATATATATATATATATATATATATATATATATATATATATATATATATATATATATATATATATATATATATATATATATATATATATATATATATATATATATATATATATATATATATATATATATATATATATATATATATATATATATATATATATATATATATATATATATATATATATATATATATATATATATATATATATATATATATATATATATATATATATATATATATATATATATATATATATATATATATATATATATATATATATATATATATATATATATATATATATATATATATATATATATATATATATATATATATATATATATATATATATATATATATATATATATATATATATATATATATATATATATATATATATATATATATATATATATATATATATATATATATATATATATACATGAACATGTTATATAACATAATATGTTTACATGTATATTCAACTAAAATTTACATTGTGCCTCCATATAACTTTGTAAGCGCCAGGATTAGCATGAACTTTGCATTCAAAGTATACGTCATCGCCTTCTTCGATATCGTCTGGATTCATATTCGATCCTAACTCCAGATGTAAAATTGGTACAACTGAAAAATAAAAACAGAAGGAGTAAATATTATGAAAGTGAATATCCATAAAAGTATTGAAATTGCAATAGTTTGTATTCTTGAAAAATATTTTATATAAAATAATTTTATACTTACAGAATACATTTAATTTCCATGTGTCTTCGACTATACCTCGTTGAATTTCGAAATTTTCTGCACGGCAAGTGATTACTTTATCGTGATCTAGCAACGTAGGTTTCAATATCAACGTCGAACTTGTCATGTTACCATCTTGAGATACCTTCAATATGAGAAAATAAATACAAATTCATGGAATTATCCCATGGACGCTATTATGCAGTACTATTCTAAGATATATATATATAAGGAGAGCGCACGTATGTGTACAGATGTATGTTTGCGACCATTGGAACGGCAAGGCAGCGAGGCAAGAGCGAAAACCGTAGCCGAACCGTAGACGAACCGTTTACCGTTGCAGAAAAATGAAGGAAAAAAGGGAAAAGTCAGAGCCGGTTCATCGGCAACGACGCGACAATTTAATTTCGGCAAGAGAGTTTGAACGTATAAGCATGCGCCTCGTCGTACCGATCAGTACAACACACAGAATTTTGACTCGAAATAAGCAACTCACAATTCCCTCTTCTTTATTTGAAGTCGCCAACAGAGTAAGAGATCCGGGGACGAGTACGAAAGAAAATGTAATTTGTTCGTAAATTTGTATGGTCAAATGAACAGCGAACGCCGGTTGACAAAAGAGGAATAGAATACTTATGATGCTTTCTCATAACAGTATTAGGCGATGATCGCGTGTTATATGCCGATCGCTTTATGATCGGCCGCTGTCTCGAGCCTCTTGCTCGTTCTCCGTGTGTTCTCTCGTGTTTCGTTCGAAAAAAAAGTCAAGCCGAATAACATACCTGACTTGTAATAAGCAATTGTCCGGTCCCGGTCGTGCTACTTATTTCGAGGCGACACTGTCTACGTATAAAGTACAAACGGCGGCGGTGAACGGGCAGACCAATGGAATAGAGAATTGAGGTTCAAGAGAGTCGGATTGCTTTCGGAAAAAGCTGTACGTCGAGATTTGTATGCGGAAAATTTAACGGCCGTCCGGCGAGAGAAGAATAAGTGAGTCGCGAATACTGATCGTAAAATCTGCAATTGATTGTGTTAATATATGTACTTCCAATTTTAATTTCGTTATAGCTTCGATTTCAAACGCAATCCATGGCTTATGTTTGTGCCGTGATTCTTCCTCCTAAACCTACATGTGTATAGTTACATGAGTTTAATTCTTCCAAATATATTCCGGGGATCAATCAAGATTTTATAAAGGCTACACCGATACGTACAATATATGGAAATGTAGAAAAGCGAGCAGCTTTTATCCTCCAAACTTGCAACGTGAATATAATGTAATTACATACCTTAGAAGCATGTATTGTGTACAAAAAAGATCTTTTTATAGAGGTGTTTAAGATAATTCGTGTTATAGACATGTTTCGATGAAAACATATTTAAAGATTATAACGTTAGAACAGATTACGAAGCTAGACTCTGTAATGCAAATTATTGTATTATTATAATCTGTTTGCTATTATCTATCACTATTTAACAAAATATGAAATCATATATTAGTGAAAATCTTTATAAAGTTAACGATACAAAGCAAGATACCTTCTCCGTGTAATTACTCAGTTTCTTTCCATCCATGTACCACGATAACTTTGCTGGAGGCCTGGATCCAACAGTCATACAGTTTATGTCATATTTTCGTCCAGCGCTAAGGGGTGCGTGCTCATTACTTAATATTGCCACAGACAATGGTTTCACTGAAAAGAATAACAGATTTAATGAAATAGTATATATAGATTTAGTGTATTATATATAGGTCGATAATAATCTATTTGATATACAAGGAACATCGCCTAGGTCTGAAACGCCAATTTTCATGAAACTTTGTAGATTCACAGCCTAGCCCATACGTATTCTTTTTAATTTTTTCTTTCTTTCTTTAATCGGCAATCGTCCACACTTAGTATCAGAAATATATTTTCTACAATATCTCGGAAATGATTAGAGATAGAGAAACTATGAACGAATGAAAGAATTTTGTGCTTTTGAGTGACGAATATGACCGTGATGACTAAATAGACTTTTAAAAAGTCCATTTGTATAAATAATGTTATTATGCGATCGATGTTTCTCTTGCATAGTTCCTTATTTACAACTATTCTTTACAGTAATTTTCTTCAAGTATGTACAGTTCACGATACACGGGTATAAGTAACTATGTAATCCATGTACCGGATATCAATGACAAATATTTTCTTAATTTTCAGCCGTAATACTAGCTTCACACGCCGTAGCTGTTAAATACTCGCAACGTTATATTACGAATTACAGTGTTTTTGTTAACTTTTCTTGACTTTCACTTAAATACATTTGAGTAGACCACACACATACACACACCCGCGCGCCTAAATTTAAAGCACAGAGGAGTCAGAATTTTCTATTTCTTTTTCTTCATTTTACGTCCTTTTCGATGAAATTGGCAATTGAAGCAAATAAATTTTCTGTCGCATGTGTTTCAAGAAACTTGGTATTCTGTTTATACGTACGAAATAAATAAATAAATAATTTCAACAAGGATTCGAGATACATGAACTTGTAATGTATATTATAATTGTTAAAGAAATGGTAAATAAAGACAATTATATATACTATAAAACCGGTACGTACAAAACAAATTAAGTAATTGTTATAGTAAGCTGAAATTCTTTCACGAAACAAGGGATATAAATATAAGAGTTTAATTGAATGGGATGTGTGTGTGTGTGTGTGTGTGTGTGTGTGTGTGTGTGTGTGTGTGTGTGTGTGTGTGTGTGTGTGTGTGTGTGTGTGTGTGTGTGTGTGTGTGTGTGTGTGTGTGTGTGTGTGTGTGTGTGTGTGTGTGTGTGTGTGTGTGTGTGTGTGTGTGTGTGTGTGTGTGTGTGTGTGTGTGTGTGTGTGTGTGTGTGTGTGTGTGTGTGTGTGTGTGTGTGTGTGTGTGTGTGTGTGTGTGTGTGTGTGTGTGTGTGTGTGTGTGTGTGTGTGTGTGTGTGTGTGTGTGTGTGTGTGTGTGTGTGTGTGTGTGTGTGTGTGTGTGTGTGTGTGTGTGTGTGTGTGTGTGTGTGTGTGTGTGTGTGTGTGTGTGTGTGTGTGTGTGTGTGTGTGTGTGTGTGTGTGTGTGTGTGTGTGTGTGTGTGTGTGTGTGTGTGTGTGTGTGTGTGTGTGTGTGTGTGTGTGTGTGTGTGTGTGTGTGTGTGTGTGTGTGTGTGTGTGTGTGTGTGTGTGTGTACGCGCGCGCATATGGACCTCTGATAGAATGAATGATATCGTGGCGACAATATCGTATGTAATTGAATCGCTATGTTAATTTCTTTTTTACCAATCATTTTCCATTCGAGAAAAATATAACACTGCTATAAGTTAGTTTGAGATTGTATTATCGAAGATCTAAATCCATAGTGAATAAAATAGTACAAAAATAAACAACAACTACAATTACAATATTAATTATGATGAATATGTACTACAATTAGTAAATATACATTATTTATATATATATAAATGTATAGCTAGCTAAAAATAAGAAATACGTGGCTCTAAAACGGTTCGGTGCTATAATTTTGACACAAAACCAAGAACAAACTCTATTACAGGACAATGTCCTACGAACTATCCCGACCCGCTTCTCGCGATTGAACAAATAAATTCGTATCGTACTTAAATGGTATTTAAATACAGTATCATATACTATAACGAAACTTACAATGCATTTCAATTGCAACCGATGCAGAGACAGGTTGACTGATATTGTTGTTGGATGCTTGACAAGTAAATACCGCATGAAGATCAGCTCTTGAAAGTTCCCTTACTATTAAGGCATTTCTACGAAGGGATGGAAACTCTCCTGGCTCATCTTTCGAATCAAGGAGCATTTCTCCCCGCCACCATCTCACTTTTGGCTCTGGTCGACCTAGTAAACAACATATAAATATAAGTAGGTCAAATATCTGTTGACTATTATTTATAATCCAATTATTGAATAGATCATTTGTCGAAGTGATAAAATAAATATGTATTTACTTATTAGAAATAAAAAGAAGGAAATAACTCTATTACACAGTTCTTCTTAAAGCGGGCCCTACATGAAGAGATTTTCCTCGAGGTATGCCTCGAGACGAAAGCTCATGCGAAGCGAGCTGGGTCTCATGAAGTCTAGTGTGGCCCTCATGAAACCTACTCACAGTCAGTATCCGTTTTGACTTCGAAGCGAAATGACGTTAGAAAATGTGTCTCTGAAAAAAAGAGATTGCGATTGGTGTAGCGGTAGCTATGCGAATCGAAGGGGGAGAGGTACCATGTAAAAGAGAGAAAAAGAGAAAATGATGAAGATATTGGCTGATTGCAGGAGATGCATTTTCGCGTGTAGTATTATTAGAAGAATTGCGGCAAAACGAGGCAAAAGATTTTTTATACTATGTACGAATGGATAAAGAAAAGTTTGATATTGTTTTAAATTTAATTCAACTGTACATTTGGGGGAAAATATACTGTAACGCGGGAGGCCGTATCTGCCGACGAACGCTTGATAGCTATACTCGGATATCTAGCTGGCAAAAAAGTTACGGAGACGTGAAATTTTGTTTTACCTTTTTGGCTATAATTTCCGAGTATAACGTTTCTTTCCTTGATTTCGTATTGTAGATGGCAATTTTCGTGGTTCGTTCTCAGTCACTTAATAACATGTTATAAACAAGAAATTCGAAGGGTCATGTCTCAACGTGATTCGAATGATATTGGATTACCGCTATGAAAAAGATGTAATATTTTTGTACTGGGTATTGCAGACTTTTTCGAGAAACTGCGAGGATTTAATTGAAAACCTCTTTCAGTCACGGCGAACTTCGTATAAAAATTCCGAAATTTATTCAAATTCCGAAAATAAATATCTATACGCATCGACATTAATTTTAAAAAATATATACTTTGAACTTGTAGAACCGTTTTGTCATCCCCGATTTCGATGACTTTTGAATATGTTATAGAAATCAACGTTCTGAGCAACTTTTTCCTATACACGTATAACCGTCGGATTCGCTTAATTTTCCGGATATTCGCAAGAACCTGTAGGTATAAATACAGTTGTGTGTATCTATGATAGCGTATGCATCCAGTATTGGTTGCCGATCGCCCCACCCGTCTTCTGTCCATAATTCTATTGGGGGTTTGAGTTAGCATTTTTAATATCTCGGTTATACGTATAGGGAAAAATTGTTCAAACTGTTGAGCTTTGCAATATATTCGAGAATCGTCGAAGTGAAAATGGACGAAACGGTTCTACAAGTTCACCGAATACAGCCAACGTGTCGTGCGTGTTGAAGAACTGGTCCGCCGCCTGTTTGCGGTAGGCAGAAATTAGGCAGACCCCTTCATTTGTAAAGTAAAAGTCGTAAACTTTAATTTTAAGCCCTATTACGATCTTGTACCCGATGAGGTGGGTGGCTGGCCGTGGAAGGTTAGTGTTTGTTTATGGTCTACCGTATGGTCGGGGCGGAATGAGGTCCGGTAGATGAAGATATTTTGTTAATACCAATGGAACTCGATAATAGGTCATGATTAAATTTCTTGTACTGCGTGACGTAGGTACGAAACCACCGAAAACGGATCGAGAGTTCCCTATATTCTAGCATGTAGCGGTAGGTTATGTTCCTTTTGTTCATTTGTCGGTCAGATATTACTTGGCCTCGTGATTACTTTTGATCTCGTGTATGTGCAGAATACGGTCAGACTGCATTGTTTATATCATCGATCTTCGCCGTCGTTGTGTCATCTCTATCCCCGTGACGTTATCTCGTGCACTTGAGAGGGTCACACACCGGAGCCGTACCATTTCGCCATTTCGCCCTCGTACCAATGAGATAAGACATTAATGCAACCACGGAATTTTCTTTTATTTCTAAAAATTTCATTAACGCATTGGTGAAATTTTCTTGATTAAGACGAGATCGAATACAATAGTAATAATAAAATTGGCACTCAGCCAATTCTTCGAGACCGTTTTCTCCCTTTTTTTCGTGGTATTTCTTGCTCTTCATTACACACATATCTATTATCGTATCAATACACACGTCTACTACTACTACAACTAACCAATTGCAACTTTTTTTCGCACAGAAATGATATTCAATTTCATGGAAGATGCCCATGTCCAAACTACTCTTGCAAGTAAGTCCCAAGAGATGCAGCTTGCCTCGTATGAAACCTGATCTGGTGACATGCCTTGAGACAAATCATATCGTGTACGGCAGGGCGTAGGGGGCATACTCAACGCAATGCTACATACACGCTTGTAAGAGACGGTAAAGACCGTTTAAAATGTTAAACGAAAGCGGCAGATTCAAATACTGAATACCAATAATCTCCAATATGTCCATAGAGTATTTAAAATATTGTAAATCTTTAATTGATTTATAACTTTCTGAATATCGGAAATATGTTATTTTGAAAGTAATGTTTAATACCGTGTCTAACTATACGTGTAATTAAATCTAAGTTGATTTATAATAACAAAATTGTAAAAAATAACGATATAATAGTATTGTAAAATTTCTCTATAATGAGATCTTTCATCAAACATAATCGGATCATACCTATACTTGCTTGCTTCTAATTGTTATTCAGCTACTCCGCATTGAACTGCCTATATCGTTTGGACGAAAAATAAACGGTTGCTAGCATTTTTTCCTTTTTCGAACGTAAGAACCTTTCAAGAACGACCGAAAAATATTGTTTATACCTACATGGCACTGACAGTAACAGCTCGTGAAATAGCGAATATTTGTCAGTTCCTTCCAAGCTGTCGTGTATCGTACAGAGACGTTCGTCTTTTGTTGAGAAAATAATTGTAAGATAATTTATATTACATGTTGGACGATATCCTCGGTTCCACGTTAATTGTTCAATTGTCAATGTTATTACTTGAAAATAATTTGATATGTTTATGCAGAAAACTTGAATACGAACGTAATAATTTTTCACTCTTGGTAGAAATATAAATAGAAAACAGTAGGGAAAACTCACCTCCAGAAACTAGACATTGTAATTTCATATCACCACCTTCTTCATACGGACCTGCTACCGCTGGCACAGTTCCACGTTCATCAATAATATTTGGTTTATGCGGCGGTACTGTAATATACGAAAATAAAACATTCTTATTGAATATATTATTAATTGCTAACGTATCTTTGCTATTTGTATTATTATAAGGCACGAACCGATGGTACAATATCCTAATGACACGACCAATTAACCGATTTATAAACCAACCGTTCTCCAAGAAGGGGGATTATTAATTAATTATCTATGTGGCGATATATCATCGTTCATCGTTTGTGACTATTTGTTTAGAATTCGGAATTGAGCACTACTGGGTTAAAAGATTTATTTAGATAATTTCGTATAAAATAATATCGTATAAAATTACTCTAATTGTTATTGGTTATTCAGCGAACGATTGACTGTAACGTTGAATTAAAGTTTCGATTATGTATGACTATAATTTTATTCGAATAACCCTCAAGTACTAGTTGTTAACGTTAGTTAGTTTTGGCGTTAATAAATTAAGAATAAAAATAAGCGACTTGGACTGCAGAGTTTATGATACGCTCAGGACAATTCAGTCGACGATAAGTCGATAAACTGATTTTTTCATTAATTATTTTGACAAGAAATATGATGAATTATAACGAGTTAGGTGAGTTTGATCACTATCATATTCGCGTGTTTGGATTCATTTTGAACAACTTTTCCATTATTTTTCGGAAAAGCGATAAGGACACTTTTGTTCCAGACACTTTTAGAGACAGACACTTTTAGAGAGTTTGCATGAATTTTTCAACTCAAAGCGATCCCCGAAACTGACATTTTGTAACACCCTCCTTTCTAGTTCTTGAAACGATTATTCTTTCGCAGATCAATAATATCGCGGTATGTGTATAGAAACTATATTAATGTTGCACAAATATCGTTAAAATCAGCTACGTACACGTTCCAAAAGACCTACAAATTTTCCCCATTTTTAACAATAGATACCATTTTATACCGAGTCAGATCATCAGGTATTTGTGAGTTATGAGAGATGTGAGTTTTGACCAGCAAATGTATGTTTTCCAATATAAAAAATTACAAATACATAAAACTTATGAGATACATAATAAATTGATATGTAACGAATTCAATGTTACTAAATATAGTGAAAGTTTGTATAATACAAACCTATGACCATCAGGTGAATTCTTGAATTTCTGGAAGGACTCTTCGCGAAATCTACTCGACATCTGTATTCACCTTCGTCTCTTTCTTCAATGTGATTGATGTTTAATGTTGCTGGTTCAGTGACAGTTCTAAAGAATGCACGGTCGTTTAGATGGTCCTTATTATTCCAATGAGAAGCTTTTTCAGAATGTTTGCCTCTCATGTCGTAACTGAAACAATATATACTTAATTTAATACTTTGAAAACAATTATATTTAGCATTCTGATTCTTAAAACTCTGAGATTCGTTGTAATCTTTCCCAACTTTGCGCGAGACTTGTTCGTTTGTAAATGATCCTGATAAAAGTTTTCAGCAATTTTGTTTTCGCTATTCTTTATTTTTTCGAAACGATACATTATTCCTGAATTTCCTCGTGCAAACTTGACAATTATATTTGTAAACTATTATACATTATGAATTTTCTGCGATAAACGAACTGTAAAACGAAGCGTACTGTATAAAATAACCGAAATTTACTATTTAAGATATACTTCTAATAATGTATACAAAATACAATAAGAAAAGAACTAATTGAACATAATATAAGGTTCGAACACTCGGATTAATATCCAAGACGCAGAAATTTTCTACATGAAAGTTTGTTCATTTACCTGTAAATAGGTGTGGTATCGCTTTTGTACCAAACAACTAAAATTACGGAATCATTTTGTTGCGGTGGACGGATATCACATGACAACTCTGCCGTACCTTGAAGAACTGCTCTTGTTGTTACTGTTGATCCTGTAATATAAAATATTTATTGTCGTTTGAAATTTTCATTTTTCTAACAAAATATTTGTTATTAATGTACTAGAGATCTTTTTTCAGGCAAAAACTTGTTTCAAAATTTGTTGTAATATTCGCACAACAACTGCAAATTATAATAAAAATTATAACGATTACGATATTAATATCTTCAGAAACAAGAATAGGGCGGATAATGCTAGCATTTATAAAATTTGGAAACCTGAACGTTCCGTCTTAGCAAACATGTTGTCTTATTTTGCTTCATCTTATTTAAAATGTAAACGTTCTATGTAAGTGTTCGAGATTCGGAGACATCTGTGGCGGATGGGTGGCAAATCGACAAACCGCAGAACCACCGCAAAGTCTGTGACTTTTGTCTCGCGGCTCGCCACCATAATATAGTCAGCGACGATGCCATATTATATAATGACAACACCAACGATGTCAAAATGTTTGTAAGGGCCACCATCGCTTCAATACTCGAATCGCTTGAATACTTGTACTTGAGCCATTCGTTTTAAGGATAAACTTTTTGTATTGACCGCCAGAAACAGGAATATCGAGCTCGGTAAAGTAACGGTTCCCGAAAACGGATGATAACGGCCGATAAGCGGCGTGGACGATGGGAAGCGGGCGCGAAGACTCGTTATAAGTAATGGTAGGTTAAATAAGTGACGATAATATACGATTCTTAGTCATATATTTTTCTCATATTTAACGAAGTAATGAAAATCGAATGACAATAGATCCGAGCTACATACGTATAAATTATGTGGTCGACATGACCATTAAGTATCAATAATTAACTTTTTGCATCAATTAATGGATTAATTAACGCTTCGAGGTATTTTGCCAACATGGACAACAATTTTATCATACAAACGAGTATATGAATGCCAACCGTGTCAAGAATAACCTTTTTACCTGAGAACTAAAAAGGTGATACATGCTTGATATGTCTCAATATCGAATTAAAATTTATTCTAGGTAATATACGTATACATCGATGATCAAACTATCGATAGAAGTTCCTTAATAAAATCGCAAGCCAAATTAAAGTCTCATAATCGAAGAAATATTTGAACGAAAATATAAGCTAACCGATATGCATCGCTAGTTTCAAAGGATCACCTCGTGTTTTATGATGTAATGATATTTTTGCGTGCTTGCATGTGCTGGCTACTCGAAGCTTTCATATCTAAGGTGACCTCGCGTGGGGTAGAAGGAAAGATAAATTGCTATAGTGGCAATCAATATGAAAGAAAAAAAAGAAAAAAAGATATCTACGTGAATGGGATGCTCGATAAAATTCCTTGATTTTGCTGTTAAGACAATACGTGTCAATTAGATTCTAATTTCTATCTTTTATTTATTTCCCATTTCTTACGATTTCGACTAATAATTTTATATTTATATCGACAGAAAGATATGTACGCGTATTTTCGAAAACATGCATATCTGTTAAAGCGTTACAGGAATTTCACGAGTTAATTTCATTCAATAGGAAATTAATATTTATGTATTAGTTACATGCTGACGAAATGTACTTGATGTACTTAAGTGCCTATCTAAAGGTGAAACTGGTCGATTATACGCAACCTCTTATTGATCATTTTTTCCTTATATGTATGTATACTACTAATTTTTGAATTTGATACAAATCATATAGGTATTGGTACGCATGAATAATATCCAAAAAATGGCTGGGTTAACAATTTCAATTTCATTGAATAATTTTCAATCAAAAAACATGCGATATTATTTAATCTCAATTTGAATCAAGCATGATATACTCAATTTTACATAAATGAATCGTGAGAATATTATCGTAAACACGTTGTAAACAGCATTTATGCTTTCACGCATAATCAAACACGGAAAAATAAAAAGATAAACGATGGAAAGTATTCGCTGTTCTTTTCTTATATTCTATATATTAGTATATATTAGTATATAGTTAATTATATTAGTATATAGTTCTAATCAGTATATCAAATTTGAAGAATTTTTTATTATATACACATATTTTTACCTTATTTACCTTATTTTAGAAAGTAACCTACAGTAAAATTATTTTCGACAGTAGTCATGCCCAACTGTGGAACAAGGCTTGAAAACTAATCCGAATATGTATAGCCAACTTTGTGAATCAACCGACGACTAGGGATTCTGCCTAAAGGAACCGTAGTCTTGTCTGGTTACTATCACTATACATATATGTATGTAGGTAGGTAGGTAACGGGCGCGGTGCAACGAGTGACATACAAGAGAGATTATAGCACTCTCGGGAGTCTAGTTAATATGTCTTACGCGAGATGTTTGGCTGTTTGTCACTGCCTCCCTATATATCCAATTTCCCTCGTTATTTATTTGGCTTGATATTCCACATAGTCGAATTATTACTATCTTAGTTGCAGAATCATGCTCGGAAAACCCATGTACGTACTGCTGATTTCATAACTGAGACGCGTGACCGACTGAAGGAATGTGCTCAAGGAGTCGTAGATCGACCCAAATGTCGTGACGAATGCCATATCGGCCAAATGGATTTCGGATGTAAATTGGAGTCAGAATGTATGACCGCCGGTGTTCGCTCGGGCCACGTGATAAATCGGCTTGAATGATTGCCTCTGCTATTGCCTGCGTAGATGGTCGTTTGCGAATCAGGCAAAATTCGTTAGATATTGAACGACGATATTACGAGATCGTGACTAAATTGCCAATAGTTGATGATATCGTTGTTCCAGATTCTTTTCTTATACACTTTGTTCCGGTCAAACATGAAATATTCCTTCAATTGATGAAACAACCGGTATTGTTTTAAAAAATGTTCACTCGGCTTACAACTTTCGTGCAACTTCAAGTAGAAACTGAATGTATCGCAGATCATAATAATAGATAAGGTAATTTTAGAATTGAATTGACATTACCATTAAGATTTAATATCCTTTATTATTACTATATGTCTGTAACATTCTATCGTTACCTTACACCTATCGTTACTTTATTTTGCAAACATCTGCTTTATCGTAACCATCAATAATGTCCGATTATAAATTAAAAATAACGTAAAAATCGATTATATTAAAGACATTACCTAATTATTTAATTATCATGCAAGTGTAAATAAATGAAGCATTTAACAGTTAGCCAGATGTGTTAATCAGGAATTGCAATAATATTCTCTAAATCACGGATACCCGAAGTTTTGATAATAATTGAGCTATGTAAAGATAGTACGAGGCAAAGCCGCGAGTTGCCTGGCTAGATGTATACTTACCTGCCTCACCGTGAGGCATGCTTCGGTTTGACGTGGAATACAGCAGGACTTTGAACGAGCTAATGATTGACGGTTTTCTGGCGAGATTAAAGATGCTTCGCAGTTTCTTATTCGCTTCGTTCGATGCGCATTTAGACCTTGCTTTTATGAGTTTAAAAGACAACACGAGACGACGCGAGAGCAACTCGAGGCTTCCTCGCATAGCTTGTACATATCTTTATACTTTATACATGGACTACTATTAATCAAGCATCGAGCAAAAGAATCTTTTCGCGTTTTATATATCTGTATGTTTTATTATTTATATTCATTATCATCGTCATTGAATTCCTTAGAATGAAAATTATATTTATATACGTTGTATACTCGATAACATAGTAGAATTAAATTTAGTTTTCCTACAATAGTCGACAAAGGATGTTTTTCTTGTAAACTATGTTTTTCTTGGTTATTTCGAGTATCAAACCTCAAACTTATTAACAAATAAATTTGCGATATTAATTTCTAATCAGGTTCAGAAAATACTATATTTTAATATGAGCTTATATGTTAATATGACCGATAATAGTGATTATAGAAATATTCACTGTTACATTAATCAACGTGCTGAGATTTGGCTATAACTATGAATGAACTACGAATACAACTATGAATGAACTATGAATGAACTATGAATATAACTACGAATATAACTATGAACGAATTATGCGTAATAACAAAGAATGACAACCAGAAGAATGATGTTATAATTTTTTATATGGGAGCAAATCATATATCTCTGTGCGTCCTATATTGCCTCTTTCGTAATGGCACTCGATATATACGTGACTAATCTTTTAATCAAGTTATATTCAATCACGTTATTATATCAAGTTGAATTATACCAAAAATACATATACATGTGAAACTGAGAAATGTCAGAAGGCTAAAGAAAAAGTTGGTATATATAAAGGGTGGTTGGTAACTGGTGGTACAAGCGGAAAGGGGACGATTCTACGCCAAAAAAAGAAGTCGAAAATATAGAATAAAAATTTTTTTTCAACTTTTTTTTTAATTTTTTTAAAAATCTACAGTGAGATCCGTCATAACGAGACGCGATAAAGTGCACGCATACCGAGCGAAAATTCAAAGTCGATTTTCTCGAAAACAAAGCCTCAAACGAAAAATTGTTATTCTATATTTTCGACTTCTTTTTTCGCGTAGAATCACCCTCTTTCCGTTTGTACCACCAGTTACCAACCACCCTGTATACATATATGTACCCATTGGCACATACATAAAAATGTGAGTGAAACATAAAAATTGAAATTTCTTCGATAAATAAGAGCATTAATGCACGGATGAACTATTGTTATTAAAAACTTGCAAGTTACGTATCTATGAATTCAAACAGAATCAGGAAGAGAGAGAAAGAGAGAGAGAGAGAGAGAGAGAGAAAGAGAGAGAGAGGAAGAGATTATGCTATTCCGCAAGTGTGTGTTTACGTTTGCATGTATTTATACAGTAGAGACGATTCGGGTGCATTCCGACAGCTGCCGTTGTCTCTCGAGAATGCCAAATGGAATCTGAATTCTGTCGGTTAGGCTCGAGCCACGAGAAATACCGGTATCAATGCAAACTGCTGCTCCCTTCTAATATGTACATTATTGTACATCCAACCGAATACGTTCATCCGACACCATCGTTTAACGTACCTATCGTATTATACGTATAT